TTGTACAAGAAATCTAGTGATAATATGCTGAACTTGATGTAGCTGCCATTGCCAACGTGGTCACCACTGCTCTTAATTAGTCTTCGTCTTCGTCTTAAGCTTCTCAATTTCCAGACTACAAAAGAATAAATACTCCGGTAATTTATATCTTCAGTATCATTGGCCCCGTTTCATTTGTATCACGGAAATGATGATCTCTCCTCATCAGAAATTTAAACCTTTTCTTCTGTTTTTGATCCCAACCTTTGTGTTAAATTTCGGATACTTCACTTCCCAGTCATCCTGGCATTATCACCAATGTTTAGATAAATTTAATGGCGGCCAAACTTATCAAGAAGACGTTCAACACCTGATGGATTCTTTATCCTCCAAATCTTCCCTCTCCTCCTTCTACAATGTTTCTGTGAGTGATTTGTATGGCCTGTTTCTCTGCAGAGGTGATGTTAGTAGAAGCAGTTGCCAAACCTGTGTCAATGAAGCTATCCAATTTCTGCCAAAAAATTGCTCTTCTTCTTATCTAGGAGGAGTCATCTGGTATGATAAATGCCTGTTACGCTACTCGAAGAACGATTTCTTCGGTAATATGAGTTTTGAGCCAACGTGCTATATGTATAATTCGGATAACTACACTTCAGAAGAAGAGCGCATTCAGATGCTTAGTTGGCTAGATGATTCGAGTGAGAGAGCTCAGAACTCAAAAATCCTATTTGATGCCCATCAAAATGCTTTGCGTGATGATACGTCGCAGCATAGATATGTCCTAACGCAGTGCAGCAGAGATCTCAATAATAGTTCATGTTACTCTTGTTTGAAGGAAATTACAAATCAAATCAGGGAATATGACGGGCGGTATGCAGGGTGGCGTTTCTTTGCCCCAAGTTGCTTTGCAAGATATGAAATATATCCTTTCCTTGAGCCTGTTCCTGCACCACCTCAGCCTGCTCCTGCACCACCTCAGCCTGCTCCTGCAGTACCAGGTCCCATTCCTAATGGAGGTAAGTACTAATTTAGGACAAATTTTGGATGGTCATATTAAGTTTCCAAACTAAACTCTTTTAAAAGAAAATTTGTGATTGTTTGGTGCAATATATGTAGTAGCAGGGAATGAGAGAAAAAGCACAAAGAAGGTTGTGATCATCTCTGTATCATCATTAGCAGCTGTCTTTGTATTCATTCTCGCTGGTTTCTTGTGTTTTTCATCCTGCAGGAAGAAAGGACTGACAGGTACTACAAATAGGTTTTTTTTTTTTTTTCCTAGATCGTTGAAATTTGAATAAAGAAAAAGGGGCTTTTGCAAGTTAGATCTATGGTGTTGCTAATTTTTCACACAGGGGGAGGAACAAATGAAGAGATTCTGTTAAGAAATTCTCAAGGCCCAAATCAAAAGCACATTGTGGAGGCAGCAGGTATAAACGAAGCTGATGAAGAACACAGTGGGGAGATGCATTACTTTAGTTTAGCTGAAATACAGGCAGCAACAAACGATTTCTCTGATGCCAATAAGCTGGGAGAAGGAGGTTTTGGTCCTGTTTACAAGGTTTTAAACGAAAAATCGATCATATAACAATACACTTCTGAATTTTATGACAAATTTCTTTCGTTAACGCGGTTAATTCACATCAACGCTTCCAGGGAATAATGCATAATGGGAGAGAAGTAGCAGTCAAAAGGCTTTCAATGACATCGAATCAAGGCGTTCAAGAGTTCGAGAATGAAGTGAAGTTAATCATTAAACTTCAACACAAAAATCTTGTGAGGCTTTTGGGATACTGCCTAGAGAAAGATGAAAAGCTTCTTGTCTATGAGTACATGGCCAACACTAGCTTGGATGCTTTTCTATTTGGTTAGCTCCTTTCCTCACATTTCCACGTCGTACCTTTTCTGCATTTTAATGGCTAACACTGCTTTTATGAAGACAGATGCAACAAAATGCAAGCTATTAGAATGGGAGACGAGAGCAAATGTCATTAATGGGACTGCAAAGGGCATGCAGTATCTGCATGAGGATTCTCGGGTTAAAATAATCCATAGGGATTTGAAGGCAAGCAATATTCTCTTGGACAATGAGATGAATCCCAAGATATCAGATTTTGGCACTGCTAGAATCTTTGGAGTTAGACAAATGGAAGCCAACACTGAGAGAGTTATCGGAACATGGTACGCATTTCCCTCAACCCTCGCTCTATTCTTAACATTCTCTAAGAAATTATAAATGTTAAGGCGCCTGAACTATTTTATATTCTAGTGGATACATGGCACCAGAATATGCACTAGAAGGACAGATCTCTGTAAAATCCGATGTTTATAGCTTTGGAATCCTAATGCTAGAAATAATAAGTGGTAAAAAGAACAAGGGATTCTCCACCTCAGATTGTGGGCAAAGCCTTCTAGCATATGTAAGCCCCTTCTCTCTTGAACATTTTGTTCATAAACAACATATATTAGTTCTGTTTACCTAGTTATGAACCCCATTATCATGTTTGATCTTGAACAGGCGTGGATGCTATGGAGTGAAGGTAAAGCAGTGGAATTGATAGATCCAAACATTGTCAACAACTGCCCCGAGCAGGATGTTCTAAGATGGATTCAAATTGCATTACTCTGTGTCCAAGATGACCCTACGCATCGGCCTACAATGTCATCAGTTGTTATCATGCTTGGTAGCAAGTCAACAAACCTCCCCCAACCATCAGCAGCCCCGTATTCTGCAGCGAGATTTCTTGCATTGTCTGATTATTCTTCAAGCAGTGGAGGAAACATGGGCTCTCATATATCCGATCAATCTACAACCAACAGTACTACCTAGTTTCTTTTTTAAAATAAATGTAACTCTAATTAACTAGTTAATGTTGGAATTGTTGTTAGAGTTGTGGCATTGAAACCTGCAAAAGTGATGAAATAAAGCTACCGTGAAATGGCAGCAATGAAGCTGAAAATTGACAGTTGATCAAGATGCAATTTGACAGCAAGTTAGCCGCATTGTTATTTTCATGTTGATAACAGAAAATAGAAATAGCAAATCATGAAGATGATGCTGTGAAATGCAAATGCAAATGAAGATGAAGGCTTCAAGTTGGTGGCTGTCTTTTACTAGTTTTTGATGTACTTGATTGTTGCCTTTTGACGTCGAAAAGTTGCTCAGACAAAACAAAAAAACATTAAGTAGAATACACTTTAAATTGTCTTTAGGTTGTTTTTCTACTAAATAGAGCAGAGTTCGTTAATGAGAAATTTGAGTTTTAGCGTTATACTCTCCGTTTTCAGTTTATATTCTGTCTCTTTCCTCTCAATTTTGTCTCCTTTTTGAACCATGAAAAAAATTAGCAATTAAGACTTAAGAGATTAAGTATAGTTTCAGCTGAAAATTGCTCATAGCTGATCTCAGCTTTCACATTCAACCTCACATAGCTGAGCAACATTAATGGCTACAGGCCTATAGCTCCAATACAAACACCAAGACAACCATGGTTATATCAATTGCAACTCCATGTGAAGAAGATCTTCGAGCACCTGTTTTGCAATTAACAGCCATAGTTCAGTTTCATTCATGATTACATAGTGCAAGTGTAACTTCAAGATCAGGGCAAAACAATGATTAATGCAGTTCTGTAATTTACCATCATTAGAAGTGGTAGAGAAGTTGAAATAGAACTGATAGTCATGGTACTGAAATAGAACTGATAGTCATGGTACTGAAATAGAACTGATTGTCATGGTACCACATGCTACAACTATACCCATAAATCTCCCATCCTCTACTATTTCCAACAATGGTTCTAAAAGTCATCAGCTGAGCATCAAAGCACTTGCTGCAGTTAGCTCTGCTAATATCTCTGGTGCACTGGACCATACCATACCCCTTCCCGCTTTGTCCAACATTCAGCACTCTGGCCTGTAACATCAGAGTCGCTGCTGCAAGCCCGTTCAGGAAGTTGAACCCTTGCGATCCAACAGATGGATCATCATGAGTCGGTACTTTGTATGTGGATTTATCCCACACACTAAAGAAAGGCTGGTCAGAATCTCGGAGATAGCACCACGTGAACCAAACCTTGACCGTTTTGCTCTTAAGGCAATCCTGCAAGGCAACAGCTACGGATTTGTTTGTGCAATTAGCACAGTTTGCTGCAGAAACATCCCCTCTACACTGCACAAGACCATAAATCTTTTCTGACTTCTCCCCTGCTGTGGTTTTGTAGAATCCACTGTTAGGGTCCTTGCAGCCAGCTGATTCAGGAGGTTGTCAAGATTTGCCTGGAAGGAGTTTTCAGATGTTGAGTTATCAGCTTCTGAACATTCCTAACCGGTACTCACATTGTTGTCAGCAAGACAAATGTTCTGTAACAACATCAAAATTGAGAATAGAATAAAACTCAATACATTCAGACCAATCATCTTCATATTCTATATCAACTCTAGTTTTAGGAGGAAGAGATGAGAATGAATCTGTATCAATGAAAAGAAGAATGCTATCCCAAGTGTTTTGAATGTAAAAAATCAACTCTCAGAATCTGATGTCTGACATTTTTGTTGTACGAAGCAATAAAATATAGAAGTCAAGCAGTTAAAAAACTGCAACTAGGCAAATAGTTCATGCAGCTTGTGGGTGTTGGATGAGGTTCAGATTTTTTTGTAGTTTTTGAAGTTACTGTGCCATCACAATCTGCAAAACAGTGGCAGCAAAGTGACAGCTACATGGAGCTGCACAAAATTGCAGCAAATCTTTTGAATGTAATCTTACTTTAAATGCTTGATAGATTTTCTTGTATTAGGTAAATATTAGCTGAGAAAGGCACTGTTTTGTGTTGTGTTGTTTCTGCTATAAATAGCAGAATATCAATGAAACTTAGTGTGTCCTGCTCATTGTTCTCTCTGTTTTTTCTCTTCATTTTTTCTTCGAGCAAAAACGTTGCAGTGGGTTTCCTTAACATGCTCTAAAAAGAGACCGTTAGTTTGGATAAATACAAAACAAACTGTCATATGTGAATTAGATGGAAAAGCACACGTGGCTGCATAAGTTTGTTGCTATTTTTTATTTTCTCTGTTTAATGTATCATTTATGACACTTTAATTAACTGTGCTTTGCAACACAGAACTTTGATGATGGGCTTCAGGCTGTAGAAGGATCCAAAGACAGTGAAAGCTGCATATATGTGGCCTGCAATGTTGTTGAGCCCACAGAAAATGATTTAATGGGTAGAGGCGGCATGTACCGTCGATGTCAGTACGAGGATTGGTTGGCTTCACCATCGTCATGTCATCATTTTCATGTCACAAAAAAATTGATTGGACACTACAAATCTCTTGCTTGAATGGCCCAAGAAAACCTCAATGTTCTTATAATTTCCTTGCTTTAGATAGTTGACGTTTCCGATTTTTAGATTAATGGTTATAAGGCTTTCTTTTGTCTATATACTAGCAAGTAGCAATCAACTACGGACATTTTCACACCCATGTCATCCAAAAAAAAAAAAAAAAAGAGAGAAAACCCTTATGTTAAGATGTAAATACACTTATTGTAAATATTTTATATCTTAAAGTATTCTTTTTATATACTTTATATATTAGAATATTTTCTTTATATACTTTATACCTTAAAATATTTTCTTTGTAAACATCTATATATAAGTTATTGTATATACAGTATTACTCAAAAAAGCAATAAACTTTTCTTCAAATTCTTCTTCTTTGTTTCTGTTTCTAACATGGTATCAAAATTGTAAACTCCTGATTCTTTTCTCTTATTATCGTTACTTGGTTTTTTGGAGTTGGATTTTCAAATCCATTATAAATTTGAAACTTTGTCATTAGGATCTTTTATCCTACAACTTGGATTGTTTATCCTCGATTCTCAGACCCTTTCTAAGGTATTTTGTTGGTTTGTTATTTCAATCTTGGCATCTATTTCTTCATATTTTTAGAGTTTTTTTAGTGTTGTGAGTTTTACTAATTCTATGGCGAGTTTTAAAAGGATCGTAACTCATCTTGTTATTGCTATGGTTGTCGAAGAAGTGATAGACCAACCTAATGTCAACTTTGAATCCCTAAAATAGGTGATATCAAATCTTTTTAATGTTCCTACTGCCTTATCTACTACTCTAGTGCCAACCCTTGGTATTTTAATTCTGGTTGTTGTAACCATATGTCTTCAATTACTACTCATTTCTCTTCAATGTCACCAAATAATTCTTTTCCTGATATTTATTCTGTTGATTGTTCCCTTATGAATGTTAGTCACATTGGCAATATTTCTACAAAGTCATTAACTTTAACCTTCTATCTATTGGTCAATTATGTGATCTTGGTCTTAAAGTAACATTTTCTGCTCATGGTTGTCGTGTGCAGGACCCACAGACATGACAACTTCTTGGAAATGGTCGCAAGATGGGGTGTTTGTTTGAGCTCAACTATCTGCATATTCCTGATCATAAAATGGATGCACCATCATTTCTAAATGATCAATTCATCCAAACCCTGCTTTGTGCTATTGAATTAGAGTTCTTGAAAATTCCATACCAACAAATCTTCCAAGCCTGTGCTGTTACTAGCATTTCTCCTCTTCATTTATGGCACTCACGGTTTGGACATACCTCAGTCGGTAAACTTCATCCACTTATTTCTCATGGTTTATTAAGATCTGTTCCAAATGAATCTTTGCATTATGTGTCATGTCAATCTACAAAACAACCAACTTTATCTTTTTCTAGTAGTCATTCTCTTTCTACTGCTTCTTTTGATCTTGTGCATTCTGATGTTTAGGGTCCATCTCCAACACCTACGATGGGGGGTTCCAAGTACTTTGTGTTATTTATTAATGATCATACTCATTTTACTTGGATATATCTTATGAAAAAATCACTCCAAATTACCATAAATTTATATTGATTTTGCTACCATGGTCAAAACTCAATTCTCTAAAATTATCAAAGTTTTGAGAACTGATAATGCCACTGAATATCTTAGTACTAAACTTCAATCTTTTCTCAAAGAACAAGGTACATTGACCCAACAATCTTGTCCTTACACTTCTAAACAAAATGGGCAAGTTGAACGCAAACACAAACATATCCTTAATTCTGTTCATGCTTTGCTCATTTCATCTTCTTGTTTAGAGCGATTTTGGGGTGAAGCTGCTCTTACAACAGTTTATCTCGTTAATCGGATTCCATCCTCAGTGATCAACAATAAGTCTCCATATGAATGTTTACATGGTATTCCTCCTACTTATGATCTTCTTAAGGTTTTTGGTTGTGCTTGTTTTGTTCTTCTTCCACCTCATGAACATAACAAGCTAGAGCCTAAAGCTTGATTGTGTTGTTTTTTGGGTTATGGGATTACACATAAAGGATATCGTTGTTGGGATTCTGTGTCACAAAAACTTCAAGTCTCATGTCATGTTGTCTTTTGGGAACACACTATGTTTTCCTCGTTATGAAACTTCTAGGTATCATCCTTGGATCAACCTCCATTTTTCATTAATCCTTCTGTTGAGCTATTCCCTAGTGATTCTGATGCAGGTACATCTAATGAGCTCTATAATGCCTCACCACATGCTCCAATTGGTTCTACAGAAGATGATTTACTTGTTGGTAATGCATTAGATAATTTTGAGCCTTCCTCGACTTCCTCATCTACATCACCTATTGATGTTGCATTTGATATTATTGAGTCTCCAAATGAGCTTGTTGTCCATCCTTGAGTCATCCTACTCGGGTAAGAAACCTTCATTATGCAGCAGTAGTTCGCATTATTCGTTATGTTAAGGGAACATTATTTCATGGACTTCACTTTTTTGCTCACTCATCTCTTGAACTTTGTGCTTACTCCGACGCTAATTGGGCTGGAGACCCTAATGATTGTAAATCCACCACTGGATATTGTCTTTTTCTTGGTGATTCCTTAATCTCTTGGTGTAGCAAGAAGCAGACAATTCCATCACGTTCTAGCACAGAGGCCGAATATTAAGCACTTGGAGACACCACATCAGAGTTACTTAACTTATGTTGGCTACTAGAAAATATGGGTGTTCCTCAACCACCTGCTACTAATCTTTATTGTGACAATCAGAGTGCCATACAGATTGCTTATAATGATGTTTTCCATAAACACACTAAACACATGGAGGTTGTTTGTCACTTTGTTCACCAACATGTTGCACAAGGAACTATTCATTTGGTTTTCATTGGCTCCACTGATCAACCAGCAGACCTTTTCACCAAGGCTCATTTTCCTAGATACTTTCGTACTCTTTTTTCCAAACTCTAGTTGGTTTCATCATGTTTCATCACAACCACCTTGAGTTTGAGGATGAAACCAACTTGAGTCAACTTGAGTTTGAAGGGGAATGTTAAGATGTGAACACACTTATTGTAAATATTTTATACTTTAGAATATTTTCTTTGTAAATATTTTATACTTTAGAATATTTTCTTTGTATATTTTATACTTTAAAATATTCTTTTTATATACTTTATACCTTAGAATATTTTCTTTATAAACACATATATAGGTCATTGTACATACAATTTTATTTAATAAAGCAATAAACCTTTCTTCAAATTCTTCTTCTTCTTTTTTCTGTTTCTAACACCTCAAAAAGTCTTACCTAATCTAAATGGCGTTTGTCGAAGGCAAAAATTCTATAACTGATACAATCTTCACTTTGCTGAGATGCAAAATTTATTAAAATTTTATTGCAAATAATGATGATGATCATAAAATGTAATGCAGATTACAGATACTTGAAATGGAAACCAACCATGGACGTTCGGTTCATCTTGCCATGAAAAATGAATCTATCTTCTATTTTTTCCCTTTTGATCCAGGGAGACTGGAGCATTTGTAGGAACGTGAGGAACTCAGTTGGACATTTACCTAAACAAAGACAAAACGAATAATGAAACAATTAGAAATGACAAAGCAGTAGGCCGTTGACACAAGTGTCTTCGGTCCTGTGTTTGTTTGTGAGGCTCAGAAAATACAATCCATTAAGTGACCTCCATTTCTTAGAAGGTCAAAAAGTATATAGTTGCTGGTTACTGACGTCCGTTTTTGCACATAAGTTCTTGAATTGTCTTTAGCCTAATAAGCCCTTAAACCCGGTTGTTTGGGCATTAAGACTCCGATGACGGTTGCCATAAGACTCATGATACTACTAGAAGGGTTGTGGGAACATAGTGAGTATATAACTAATCCTTGTATGCTTATTTTAGCACTATGTGCTTTTGGTAAAATGTTGTTTATATTTCTTAAAAATGTTAAAATACAATGGATATATGTCTTCAAAATATATTAAACATGAACACTTCTCTGTTAAGACTAATATTTGCAACTTCAATATAATGATTTTGGATATTGTGAATGGTTAAAAAAATAGCTCTCCTTGCCATATTGAGGATGGTGAAACACTTATAAACTTGGTAAGTATACAAAATTAAGATACATGAAATTTAACATTTAAAAGATTAGTCATGTGTAGTTTGTACCGTGGTCCATTAATCTTTTTTTTTTTTTGCCAAGTGTGAGGAAACTGGAGCGAATGGAAGCCACTAAATATTGTAGATCCTAATTTGAGTGAGAGCAGCACAAATAATGATGAAAAGTATCCATATTGGATTGCTGTGTGTGCAAGAAAACGTACTACAGAGGCCAACTATGGGATCAATTATGGAGATGCTTACCAACAATTCTATAATTCTCCCAACACCCTCCCACCCTGCATTCGTAATGCACAAAAAGTTTCAGCTAGACATGTCATCGTCACGTGAATACACTCAATCTAGTGATGGACATACCCTGCCTTCAATAAACCAAGTTTTAATTTCTGAGATCCAAAATAACTAGAATTCTATATGACTGTTACTTATATAAATACCATGAATTTAAGATCATTTGCATTTCTTATGTTGAATTGCTGAATTTTCATATGGCTACCAACTTAGACGTTTGTATTTGAATAAAAGATGGCTAATAAATCATAATCCAGCATTGAATTATAAATGAATTAAATGCAGAAAATGTTTCAAGAAGGAAAATATCCCTTATTCACAAAAGTTTCCAGTACATTTAATCTGTTTTGGATATACTAATTTAACCAGGGGAAAGGAATATTACTAAAATTCCTTTTCTTAGCAAAAAAAAATAAATAAATAAAAGAATTGACCCCAGCTTTGACCTTCAACCACACTGTTAGCATGTGAGATAGATTTACTAATCTGACAGTTACAATTAATTTATTTTGCTTAGTGGTGTAACAGTTTGTTTTGCAGTCTATACCTTCTTTTCATATCAGCAATTGTTATGTATAATTTTTTTTTCCTTAAAAATTGGTATGTGTGTCTGCTGCAGTTTTTTTTTAATATATCAGAACACTATTCATGTATTTCATCATTTCACAAATTTAATCCTTGAATTTATGTTCATTTTAGGTTCATTTTCACTTGAGTTTTCATCTTTACATCATCACTCACATATCTAAATAACATCCAACCGCTATGGCACCAATACAAAGATACCACCATAGTTACGTTAGTTGCAACTCCATGTGATGAAGATCGATCTTCGAGCAATCGTTTTGAAATTAAAAGCTGTTTGGATAACAGACTTGCGACACATTTCAACACCCTTATATGGCCCCCTGGTCTTTTGAAAATTTTTTAAATTAATCCACAAATTTTTATTTCATAAATTTTATCCTCAAATTTTATTTTATTCACCTAATCTATATATTTATATAAAATGCTACCCTAAGCATTAAATAGGGTATGCATTTATATATATAAATAATAATAATTAAATTTATATATAATATAAGTAACTGAAAAAATTAATCATTTTGGTAGATGAAGAGGCAAGACCATAGCCAATTAGTTTCTCAATGGAAGATAATTTAAATGAATATTATAGTATCATAATTATTAATTATTAATATTGAAAAGATAATAATATATAATATACGTAATTGAAAAAATTAGTCTCTTAGTAGATGAATAGGCAAGACCATATATAGCCAAATAATTTATCAACAAAAGACAATTTAGATGAATATTATAGGGTATACAAAATATTCATATACAAAATCTATACCCAATTTCATTAAATATGGTATGTATTTATTTAAAATATAATATTATATTAATTTAAAATGTTGAAACAACATATGCAAAATATATGAAGATTATAAATTATAAATAAATGACAAAAATAAATGAAAATTATAAAGGATAATAAAAATGATCGATAGGCAAATAATTGAAAATTATAAATAATAAAAATAATTGACAAATAAATGTGGTAGATGATACAATGTTATCTTAATATAAAAAACCAAACGTTTAAATATTTAAAAACTCTTAAATGAAGAAAATAAAGAGTCAATATTTAAATGTATAAATGCATACCCTCCAATGATCTTTGATGACATCTTTTTTTCGTGACTTTCCTCTATGCCCTTCCATCTTCTTATCCTTCCATTTTCCTCCCCACCTCTAATCATTAGTCACTTTCTCTATACTAATATATCATATTCTCCTCTTCATCTCTACAATTTCTTTTTACTAATGTGGTGAGTTCCAAATATTTTCCTTTTTTTTGTTTCCATGTTTCATATTGCTGCTAAATAAAATATTTGTTTTTATTTTCTTATGCCATTTTTCCTTTTTGTCCAAAATTTGTATATCGTTGTATGAAACAAGGATTACTATTCTTTTGGATAAGGTTAAATGCTAAATTTAGTCCCTTAACTTTAGTGAGTTGCACATTTTTTATCCCTCAATAATTTTTTGCATTTTTTTGATCCCTTAACTCTAAAAATTGCACAATTTTGGTCTCTCTGTCAGTTAAGTATGATGTGGCAGTTAAATAATTTCATGTGGCATTGTTTTTTAATTTTTTTGATAACGTGGCATTAATATATTATAATTATGTTATATAAATAAATAAAAATGCCACGTAGATTAATATACATATTTTAATTAAAAACATATAAAATTACCTTATTACCCTCATCATCACCCTCACCCTCACCCTCCCAATCCCTCTTCTTCCCCTTCTTTTTTTTCTCTTTCTTTCTTTCAGGTTCAGTGGAAACCCAGCCTTGCTGGGTTCGTCGACCAACCAAGGCTGGGTACATCGGAACCCAGCAGATCTGGGTTTCGACGAACCCAGCTTTGCTGGGAAAGCTTGATTCTTGTTTTTTCGTTCTTCTTTCGATTTCCATTTCCAGTTGTTGATATATTTGGAGATTGATTTATAATTTAATTGCATTTTTGTTGGAATTTGATTAAAGTTTGATTGTATTTTTGTTGAAATTTGATTAGAGTTTGATTGGTATTGTTTATTGAAGGGTTATTTTGATTTAGTAAGATTTGCCAGGTTTGAGGTTTCAATGAAACCCAGTAGCTCAAGTTTTCCCGAGAAAAGAGAAGAAGAAGAAATGGGTGGGTTAAGATCAGTTTTGTAGATGGAGTGGAGATGAGAGAGCATTCACGGAAGAAGAAGAAATGGGTTAAGATCGATTTTGCAGATGGAGTAGAGATGAGAGAGCATTCAGAGAATAAGAAGAAATGGGTTAAGATCGATTTTGTAGATGAGAGACTAGTTTGCAGGCAACTGGAATCCATTGGAGGGGTTTTGCGTGAAGAAGATGAAGATGACATGTCATAAAAAAAAAAAAAAGTCCAAATAAGCATGTTTTTAAGTTGTGCTCGCCATGTCATCAAAAAAAATATAAAAAAT